TGGACTTGTATGCTCCTAACTGGTGAATCTTAGGGATATTTACATGGAAGATGATACTGCTCCAGAACAACGCAGCCTTCCCCCAAGTTGATTTTTTATATTTGAGCAAGTGTCCACAAGCAGGTTAGAGATATTTGTAATTGCAGTACAATAAATTTGCAGGACATTTGGATAGGGCGCCAACTTATATAGAGATTGTGACTGCATGAACACAGAGTTCCTTCTTTCACTACACCAGTGGTTCCCAACCTTCTTTGGACCAGAGACCACTCTCCAACATTAGTACCAAAAGGGTTACAAATCAGTTTTTGGTCAACTTTACATTTGGTTTGGTTGAGGTGCTGATTCAGAACATTGCATTGGTTAGACCATATCAGTTTCTGATAAAGAACATATGCGATCCAGTAGTTGCCATCTGCTCACTCACAGAAAATGATATTTTATAAGCCTTGGCACTATAAGAGGGTTTTGCGAGACCAGTCGCTCTCATTGCAATGGTATAGTAATGGTGAGGCCATGGACCATATTTTAGTTCTTGCGGGCCACTGGTGGTCCACGGACCACAGGTTGGGAACCACTGCACTACACTCATCTACCTCCCCTATTCTCCACAAAGTAAAATTATGAATGATGTGGAGAAAGGGGATAGGGAGCATATTTTCCCCCTCTCATAATACCAGGACCATCCAACAAAACCCAACAGAGTACAACTTACATCATATGAAAGGATGGACCTCTTCATGGAACACATGGGGGCAAAAAAGCAAAATTTGCTAAAACGCAAGTTCTTAGTGAGATGGGCATCCCAAGCCACCTTGTCTCTCTCCTGAGGAATCTGTACAAGGACCAAGTAGCAACAGTCAGAACTGACCACGGAACAACAGACTGGTTCAAGATTGAGAAAGGCGTACGGCAAGGCTGCATCCTCTCACCCAACCTTTTTAACTTGTATGCAGAACACATCATGCGATGTGCGGGGCTTGATGAATGCAAGGCTGGGGTGAAAATTGCTGGAAGAAACATTAACAACCTAAGATATGCAGATGACACCACTCTGATGGCCGAAAGCGAGGAGGAGCTGAGGAGCCTTCTAATCAAGGTGAAAGAAGAAAGTGCAAAAGGGTTGCAGCTAAACATAAAAAACCAAGATTATGGCAACAAGAATGATTGACAACTGGGAAATAGAGGGAGAAAACGTGGAGGCAGTGACAGACTTTGTATTTCTAGGAGCAATGCAGACACAGACTGTGGCCAGGAAATCAGAAGACGCTTACTTCTTGGGAGGAGAGCAATGTCCAATCTCGATAAAATAGTAAAGAGTAGAGACATCACACTGGCAACAAAGATCCGCCTAGTCAAAGCAATGGTATTCCCTGTAGTAACCTACGGATGTGAGAGCTGGACCTTAGGAAAGGCTGAGCGAAGGAAGATAGATGCTTTTGAACTGTGGTGTTGGAGGAAAGTTCTGAGAGTGCCTTGGACTGCGAGAAGATCCAACCAGTCCATCCTCCAGGAAATAAAGCCCGACTGCTCACTGGAGGGAAAGATACTAGAGACAAAGTTGAAGTACTTTGGTCACATCATGAGGAGACAGGAAAGCCTAGAGAAGACAATTATGCTGGGGAAAGTGGAAGGCAAAAGGAAGAGGGGCCGACCAAGGGCAAGATGGATGGATGGCATCCTTGAAGTAACTGGACTGACCTTGAGGGAGCTGGGGGTGGTAACGGCCGACAGGGAGCTCTGGCGTGGGCTGGTCCATGAGGTCACGAAGAGTCGGAAACGACTGAACGAATGAACAACAACAACAATGTGATGATGGCCATCAAATTTGATGAATTTGAAAGAAGACTGGGCAATTCCTGGAGGATTGAGGCTGCCTGTGGCTACTAGCCATGAAGAGTATATACTCTCACCAATACCAGAGGCAGTAGAGCCATAAATACAAATTTCTGAGGAACATGAGCAGCCCTTTTATTTTCATTCTTATGGTTGGTTTCTCTTGAGATAGAATGATAGACTTGAGAAGCCTCTGGCATGCTCTAGCACAGCTTTTAAAAATATGTTTACGTTCCATGTACCAATATAGCAATACTGCTCAAATGTTTCCATTCTTGATGGGTAGAATCAAGTCTGCAATCTCATTGCACCTGCAGCAGTAGCATCTAACTACATCTGTGCTGAATCGCCCAATTCTTCCAAAAGCGTTGCAATGAAATCTGTTGGCAGAAAAGACCTGAAGCAAGCATTACAACTTCTCTTGACAACTAGTGTAGTTTCTGCTCATAGCAAGACAACAGCCTGAATCAAAAGCACAGCTTCTTTCTCTTCTTCCAGCTCCTCTTTCAGAAGGTTTAAAAAGATCGAGCAACCCAATAGGAGTTTCTTATGGGAATGATGAAGCCAAACTCCGGTGAAATTCCTCAGGCTGTCATTGGGTGAGGTTAAAGCACACATTTAAACACTTGCAGGAACAGCTTGCATAGGTATGCTAGACAAGCATCAAGTTTTGTTTAACCTGCTTTAGGGAATTTCAAGGGAGTCTGTACCGATTATGCTATACACCCAAATGGCTTCAGGTAGCCATCAGATTGTCGCAGAGACTATTCAAAGTGTCTGCCAAGCCATGTATCTGCAGTCCAGAATATTAAGCCAAGTAGGGAGAACTAGACAGAACAGAGTAGAGAAATGTTACTTTTTTGAACTTCATAGTATTTTGCCCAACCCTGCTTTCTCTTGTATATCATAAATAGAAACAAAGAGCCAGCGTGCTAAAATGGTTTGAATACTGGATGAGGGAATTGCAGGAATTGCAGTCCTTCAGTAACTTGCCCAGTTATTTTTTGTAACATTTTGGAAATGTTTAACATTTCCAAAACCTGAGTCAGAATAACTCCTAAGGCATTCGGCCCAACTCTTAGGTAAACAAAGTTAATTAATATTAATCTGGTGGATGTTGCAGCAGATAAAATGATCTATCAGTGCAATGAAAACTGAACAGCTTAATTCCAATTGCTAGTACAATCCTTTATCTGGAATTCCAAAATACTCTGAATTCCAAAATTGTCCAATAAGCAAATGCATTAAAAACCAAACATTTAAAACATTAACATTAAAGCATCATTAAAATCATGTAATTCAAATTATCATCCAGGGTCATTCCATTTGTCATTGTATTAGCTTTATAGTCACTTATTGCACTGCTCAATGCTGGCCAAAAGCTTGGTACCACAATCACGTTTTTAATTCCCCCCCCCTAAAGGTCAGGAGGGAAGGGGCTGATCTAATTTTGCTGGGGAGGGACTTCCACAGATGAGGGGCCACCAACGAGAAAGCCCTGTCTCTCGTCCCCACCAATCGCGCCTGCGAAGGAGGCAGGACCAAGGGCAGGGCCTCCCCAAACAATCTTAACCTCAGAGGTGGGTCATAGAGGGAGATACGTTTGGACGGGTAAACTGGGCCAGAACTGTTTAGGGCTTTATAGGTCAAAGCCAGCACTTTGAATTGTATTCGGTAGCAAACTGGCAGCCAGTGGAGGGGAATTGTATGTTCCCTGTACGCCACTCCAGTGAGCAATCTGGCTGCTGACCACTGGACCACTTGGAGCTTCTGAACAGTTTTCAAAGGCAAATCCATGTAGAGTGCATTGCAGTAGTCTATTCAGGGTGTAACAAGAGCATAAACTACCGCGGCCAAGCCTGTCTTTCCAAGGTATGGGCGCAACTGGAGCACAAGTTTTGGATGTGCAAAGCTCCCCTGGCCACCACTGAGTCTGGGGTTCCAGGCTCAGCGATGAATCCAGGATCACGCCCAAGCTGCAAACCTACATCTTCAGGGGGAGTGTAACCCCATCCAACACAGACTGTAACCCTATATCCTGTTAGGCCTTACGACTGACCAAGAGTGCCTCTGTCTTGTCTGGATTCAATTTCAATTTGTTCGCCCTCATCCAGATCATTGCAGCTGCCTGCCAAGCACGTTCAGGCTATGTTTATAAGGTGTATTAGAAACATAAACCACCCTGAGTCCCTTCGGGGGGAGAGAGCAGGTTAGACTTTGGATTATGTGATTTTAATATTTGATATAATTGTTTTTACATGTTTTATTTTATTTTAAGGCATTGAATTGTTGCCGATATGCGAGGCCACTCTGAGACTTGAGAAGGGCAGGATACAAATATGGTAAATAAAATAATAAATACATAAATTGTTGTTGTTGTTGTTGTTATAAATTAATTTTGAATTTAGACCTGGGCCCCATCTCCAAGATTTTTCATTATGTGTGTATATATAAAATCAGGTATTCAAAAATCTAAAATCCAAAACACTTATGGTCCCAAGCATTTTGCACAAGGGTTACTCAACCTGTACCAAGTACAGCAGATCCAGTTTTTTGGGGGTTTTTTTTGGTTTTTTGTTTTTTTTTTTGTCGTGTCAGGAGTCACTCCTGTTGTGAGAGAATTGGCCGTCTGCAAGGACGTTGCCCAGGGGACGCCCGGATGATTTGATGTTTTATCATCCTTGTGGGAGGCTTCTCTCATGTCCCCGCATGAGGATCTGGAGCTGATAGAGGGAGCTCATCCGCCTCTCCCCGGATTCGAACCTGCGACCTGTCGGTCTTCAGTCCTGCCGGCACAGGGGTTTAACCCACTGCGCCACGGGGGCTCCAGCAGATCCAGTGAACTGATACAATTTACTTATGTGTTGACTTAGAGTATGCCTTCAGGTTGATAGTGATAAACATATGCAAATAAAGGCATTCCACAATTGCAAAAAAAAAATAATTCTAAATTCCAAAACATTTATGGTACCAAGCATTTTGGATACGGGATACTCATCCTGTAATTTACTTTATACTCCACCTTGTACAGGATCCAAGACAGCCTTCACAGCACCATCCATTCTAAAACCACTTCAAAATAGTATATTAAACCGAACTGGGTTTTGATACAGCAGCACAGGTTCAAAGAGTTTGATATAAATTGCATTTAAAACATAAAATACCTGAACTTTATAGCATTCAGCAGAGGAGTAGCTCCCATTCGGTCCTTTGCATATACAGTTGCACCAGACTGCAGTAGATAGGTGACTATTTCCAAATTGCCTTCACAGCACGCAATATGAAGAGGAGTGCGACCATCATAATCTCCGGAACTCAAGTTTCCACCCTGGAGTGAAATTGTTTGAAAGAAGCATCTTGAAAACACAATTCATACATCTACCAGATCCCTCATTTATACACCGATAACATATTTAAGTTCATTACAGTTTGGGTATGGAACATATAAAAGATCACCTCTTCTTATGCCTGATCTCCAGGATATTTGAAGCCTGCAGAGACTTTCTTCAAACCTAATGTGTACACATAAATGTAATCTGATTCCTGGCTCGGATCTAGGGATCTACTTTCTTGTGAGCAAAGGGCTTCTCTGATAAAAAAAAATGTTGTCGGAATTTGAGTTTATGGCATCAGGCAAATGTTTTACAGCTTCTGTGGTTCTCAACCTGTGGGTCCCCAGATGTTTTGGCCTTCAACTCCCAGAAATCACAACAGCTGGTAAACTGGCTGGGATTTCTGGCAGTTGTAGGCCAAAACACCTGAGGACCCACAGGTTGAGAAGCACTGTTGTAACTAGAATCATGGCCAAATGTGAACAGTGGTTCAAAGGTATCAAAGGGTTAATCAGTATGCGTGACTTTGGGCTAGCAGTTTAAGGCTGGGGAAATTTATGTGGAAATGAACAGGGGTATTGAATCTTCTTCTGTTGCAAACCTACATGCATTATTCTCATAACTAGTCTCAGAGGGAAGCAAAGGGATGGCAACAAATCCTGCCATCATAGGTTCACATTAGAGTGGCTGCAAGTTGGGAACAACATAAAGGCAAACAACTTTTACATAATAAGAGATGTGCAGGCACACAAACATACGCGCATAGGCTCTCTTTCGATCTTATTATGAGTAAACTGAACAGGCTCAGAAGTGGAATGGGCAGATCAAAAGACAGCCTGGCAAAATGGCACTACCTAAAAGAATCCTCCACCTTGTGAGACTTGGAGCAGAACAGACAACTCCGCATCTGTATGCTTGTCCACTAAGCCCTGCCTCATGTACAGAGGAAGAATTGTTTCTGGTCAAAAGATATTTAGCTGCTTGTGCTCTTTCTATTTTTATCAGTTTTATACTAATTTATGCAATGCTTTTGATACAAAAATGAATAAATAAATAAATGACTAAACTGAGTTCATGGAAGACATGATAATCCTTTCCACTACACTGCATACATGTTTAATAGAAATAACACAATTCCAAATAAACACTCAATGAAAATGCCTTCTAAAATCCAGAAACAGTAGTAGTAGTGGTAATAATAATAATAATAATAATAATAATAATTATTATTATTATTATTATTATTATTATTTAGACAGACAGAGTTTTAGAGCATAGTACTCCTGAACTCACAATCGTGTTAAAAAACAAAGTATGGATCGTCGATGTCGCAATCCCAGGTTGACAGCAGGATTGAAGAGAAACAACTGGAAAAGCTGACATGATATGAGGATTTAAAGATCGAACTGCAAAGACTCTGGCACAAGCCAGTAAAGGTGGTCCCAGTGGTGATCGGCACACTGGGTGCAGTGCCTAAAGACCTTGGCCTGCACTTAAACACAATCGGCGCTGACAAAATTACCATCTGCCAGCTGCAGAAGGCCACCTTACTGGGATCTGCATGCATTATTCGCCGATACATCACACAGTCCTAGACACTTGGGAAGTGTCCGACGTGTGATCCAATTCAACAGCCAGCAGAGTGTCTGCTGTGGACTCATCTTGTTGTGTTTCAATAATAATAATAATAATAATAATAATAATAATAATAATAATAATAATAATAATAATAATAATTTTATTTGTATTCCGCCCTATCCCCCAGGGGGAACTCGGCAGATTCCAACAACAGAAGACAAACATTTAATGCCTATACAATAAAAATAACAAGCACAAATACATTAGCAGACTGTCCAAATCCTAACAAAGCAAATGTATATCACTTTAAAATGCATAAAAATCAAGTTTACACCCACATAGCAAATTAAAGAAACAACCCACTTAAAATTAATTTAAATTATGTATATCTCTTTAAAATGCACAAAAATCAAGTTTATGCCCACATATCAAACAAATAAACAACCTACTTAAAATTAATTTAAATTATATCTACCGTAATATAAAATGTGATATCACAAAGAATTCACAAGAATCAGTAAGTTAATTTTTAAATGATGTTAAAATTTACTGTAGTTACCTGGACTATCACTAAAACCTGTGCAGCCAACAAGCCAGAGTATAAAACAAATTACAGTCGGTGGTCTATAGGTTGGACACAATCAAACTAATCCTCTTCCTCTCCTTTCTGTATATATTTCAGATTTCAATATTAATGTTAAAAATATGTAGTATGATTTCACATCATATTTGTGCTATATTAGTACAGTAAAGACAAATATCACTTAATAAAACAAACATTAAATATTAAATAACCATAAAAAATAAAATAAGGTGTAAATACTAAACTAATCTGGGAATCTGCTATTGCAACATGTCCAATCAGGCCCGTAGCCAGGATTTTGATTCAGGGGGGTGCTGAGTTTGATTTGGGGGGTGGGGGGGGGAAAGAGGGTCTACCCTAGCAAACCTTTTATATCATTACCCCAATACCCCCATGCATATGGGATATATTGAGCATGGTGATCAGATCATGATATGAATAAACATAACAGTTAAAATAATGTACCAGTAAGGCCTTTTCCTGGACCACCCTGAGAATTTGCGGGGGGGGGGGGGCGAAGCCCCACTCAGCTCATTCCAGAAGCATGTTTAAGCAAAGGTTAGTCTTCAACTGTTTTTTAAAGAGAGAAGAGAGCGGGGCACTTCTATTTCTTTGGGGAGTTCCAGAGATGAGAATCAATCACGGAGAACCCCCCCCCTCTCTTATTCCCACCACCTGTGCTTGAGACGGAGATGGGACCGAGAGCAGGGCCTCCTACATCAATCACAGTGAATGAGGTGTCCTATATGGGGAGATGTGGTTAGACAAGGAGTCTGAACCTGAGTAGACTATAGACTGATAATTTTATTAGGACAAATGACAAGAACACAAAGTGGTGAGCAGACTTTTGAGTTCAACTGAATTTTTCTTTCAGACATGAGATTAAGCAAAAAAGGAAGAAAAATATTATTTTACAAAATCCTTTGCATGCAGTTGCCATCATTTTAAAATGGTGTGGAGAGGATATTATGCAGTGAAGTAGTTAGATCACGCAGGAAGCAAAAATGGAAAGGTCTCTTGGGACGACAAGGATGATTGTACTCCTTTGAAAAATATGAATGCCAGAAGTTATTTAGATCTGCCCAAAGTTATAATCAGTCATTGCTTTTTAAATTATTTGAATGGACTGACACAATGACCTGATATTTTGTTTCAAGAAATTGTGCCTCTCCAAATATTGTCAGATTGCAATTTTTATCAGCCTCTGCAAGTCTGGTCAATGGTGGTAACAATGGGACCTATCAATCATTCAACAGTTCCTCCTTTCTGGTCAGATGAAAGAATGCCTTGAATATTTATTTGTACTCACAACTACACACAACCTGTTACCCTTAGGAAGGATGAATGTAGGAAGTTGATAGTGACTAGGTGATTGTATAAAATGGGTTGTTGTAGGTTTTTCCGGGCTATATGGCCATGTTCTGGAGGCAATTTTTCTCCTGACGTTTCGCCTGCATCTCTGGCAAGCATCCTCAGAGGTAATGAGATCTTGATTAGCATTCAATGGCTTGGAAGTGCCTGGGGGGAATCTTTTGTTGAGAGTGATTTTGTCTCCAGAACATGGCCATATAGCCCGGAAAAACCTACAACAACCCAGTGATTCCGGCCATGAAAGCCTTCGACAATACACTATATAAAATGTCTTTACCAAACTCTGTAAGGCTTTTAGGGCCTCCAAATCCCCATTCTTTGCAGCCACACAAGCCAAAGGAGGAGTCAAAGCATCTCGAATAGCTTCAAGTTCCTGAGAAAGGAAAAGAAATCATGAGTAATTGTGTGCATGTGTGTCTTTACCGTGATCCAATTTAATAATGCCTTCATAGAGCTTGACTTGTTTACCTGAGCTAATCAGAAAAGCATATTCTGCAGGTAACATGCCCCATATACAAAAAAGCTCAGGATTACACGATGTCCTGCAACAGGAGTTTGAATTGTCAGTGGTTCCCATCCTTTAGTCCTCCAGGTGTTTTGGACTCCAGCTCCCACAATTCCTAACACCCATAAGACTGCTGGGATTTCTGGGAGCTGAAGTCCAAAACACCTGGAGGACCAAAGGTTGGGAACCACTGAACTAGATGGTCTTTTTACCCCATCCAGTCCATCCTCCAAGAAATAAAGCCCGGCTGCTCATTGGAGGGAAGGATACTAGAGACAAAGTTGAAGTACTTTGGCCACATCATGAGAAGACAGCAAAGCCTAGAGAAGACAATTATGCTGGGGAAAGTGGAAGGCAAAAGGAAGAGGGGCCGACCAAGGGCAAGATGGATGGATGGCATCCTTGAAGTGACTGGACTGACCTTGAAGGAGCTGGGGGTGGTGACGGCCGACAGGGAGCTCTGGCGTGGGCTGGTCCATGAGGTCACGAAGAGTCGGAGATGACTGAACGAATGAACAACAACAACAACAGGTCTATGAAAACAGAGATTCCCTCGCCTCTAATCCACGGTTGCAGTTCTTGCAGCAAATTTTGTATGCATTTGATAATGCAGAATTTGAAATGTCCCATTGAATGATCTTGCTCTGACATGCCTTAAATGCAGCATTTTCAAAAGTAATGAATAAAATATATTAGAAAGTTTGTGGAAAAAACACTCTTGCACTCATTAAAAAAGTCGTTACACTGACTATCCTAATGCACTGTTTTCTGCAAGCCACAATTCTTTGACTCTGATTCTAGATGCCATCAAAAGTTGTACAAGTGGACTTCTGCTTTTGCAATAAGGCTTACTCCTCTTCACTTCTCAATAGCCTTGCCCCAATCCTCCCAACTCTCAAGAGGAGATCTGAGGTCAATTCAGGGTGGATGGGAAATGACTATGCTAGCAGGGTCTATTAATGCATTAGCAGATAAACCCAGGTGTATATAGGACTTTATGTTTTGCAACGATCTTTGCAAATCCCATTAGAACAAGTACCTCCTTGCAGCTGATAAACATATATTTTGCAATCTCTTGAATAAACTTGCTATCTTTGAGGGTGATCTTGGTTCCAATGGGCACAACAGTCATCTCTCCTCTCAGGTTCTCACCCAACATCTGAAAGAGGAACGAAAAATTAATGGATGAGTTTGGAAGTAGTGTACTACCAAAGGAAACCAAAGTTGAAATAGCACTTGCAAGTGGGAGTGTGATGTTGCTCCCTGCTCGCTGGGAACCGTAGTCCAAACACTTGTCTGAGCTCTGCTAAACTCTGAATGTGTACAAAACGAGAACAAACCAACTTCAAACTATGGTTTGTGAACCTGGTCTGTTAAACAAAATTGTGATAGCTATAAATCATGACTACTGATTCATATTCAGGAAGCTGAAATTCTATGAAATCAAAAGAAAACATTGGGAGGGGAAGTAGAAGGGAGGATAAAGAGCCTGAGTCTCACACAAGCTATTTCCAGTGTGACTAGCATGATTTAGTGCAAGGATGAAGACTCAACAAATATTGTGGATTCCGTCTCTCAGAAGTTTTCATCAATGTGGTCAATGATGAAGAATTACAGGAGTTGTAGTCCAAAAATGTAGAGGAGCAAAGGCTGACTTGTGTAATGAGCTATAGTTTTCAGAAAACGTGAATCTCTATAACCATTTGGGAAATGGGCTTCATAACCTTTTGGAAAACCACCAGTCACATACATACATACATACATACATACATACATACATACATATATTCAGCAGAGTTTCAGATGTGTTATTTCTAGATGCCCAAAAAAATCTACTCTCCCTTAGAATACATTTGCATTTAAATCATGCTCTCAAGACACAAAAATAAGCAGACTTCTTTAAAATTAGCATAGTTGGTTTACTCACAAACTTCATGTGATCAGCACACTACTTTGCTTATCAATCCAGTTACAAGTAGGTTTGAAGTAGTTTCTCTGTGTTGGTAACACAGAGCATTTTTCTTGTAATCAACAGTCCATAGTCCAAAGCATCTCTCTGGTCTGAGAGTCTAATAGAGTCTCTGTCTAGTGTCTAAGCATACAGTTCCAGCATTGAAGTCTAAAGCATACTTCTGCTCCTACTGAAGTCTATATTGTATTCACTGTTTCTGATGCAAACACACACAAACATTTCCAAAATGGAGTCTGAGTCCTGAACATGCCCAGTTCTGATCACATGGTCTGCAGCCCCTCCCACAACAAAGAGGTAAAGTAAAATTGCAAACCAATACACACATATACAATACGGTAAGAAATATTAATTATACACATAACAAACAACTAATGGGCCTTTAAGAAGGTTGTGATTTCCAACAGTAGTGGTGCCACTTGTTTTGCTCCGAATGCCCAAGAATGTAATTCATTATTTTTTTAGAGCAATGCAGCATGGCATTTGCCTCCTAAAAGGCAAGAGAGTGTTGGTCAAGAAGACTTCTGCTTTCTCACCCCAGAACTATCTTGGATAACCTCCTAGTCCTAAAGCCAAAGGCCCCCAATTATCATGGCCTTCCTTTGCTCCAATACACCATTCACTCTCTTTACACCATCATTAAGAAGCAGAAAATGAACAAATAATTGTCTTCCCCTACTTCCCCTAAAAGGTTCAGGACCTGCCTATCTTCGTGATCACATCTTCCCCTACGAACCAGCACGTACTCTAAGATCATCAGGGGAGACTCTTCTCTCACTTCCACTGCCATCGCAAGCGTGGTTGGTGGGGACAAAGGAAAGGGCTTTCTCTGTGGTGGCCCCTCAGTTCTGGAACTCTCTCCTGAGGGAGATCAGACAGGCCCCCCACTCTCTCCATTTTCCACAAGGAATTAAAAACCTGGTAGTTCTATTGTGCCTTCAATTAGGCAGCTCACCAAAGAAGTTTCTGACCTTATCTAGGCTCCTGCACTTTGGTCTGGTCACTTCTAGCACTTCTAACACTTTAATAATGTAAGGGCATTATCCTCTTAGCCCAGCCTTCCCTGGAGGCAGGGTATAAAAATAAAGTTGTTGTTGTTGTTGTTGTTGTTGTTGTTGTTGTTGTTGTTGTTGTTATTGCTGCTGCTTCCTTTAAAATATTTTTTAGAAAAATCATCAATTATATAGAGTACCTCAAAAGTTTCTGTAAATGTGTGTGTTTGAGGTGGAGGGGAGAGAGAAATATAACCTATTGCCTTTCCAGTGCTTCCTCATGTTTCCCTCAGATGCTTCCAAGGTTGCAATAATTAATTTGAGGAGATCACACAGACCATCCAGTCCTATCTCCAAAAACCTATCCATTTCACCTGTCATGCCCAGCATTTAAAAAAATGTTAATCATTAGTTTTAAATGCGTCGCGATGTTATTGTCTAATGTTTAATGCTATTGTTTTAATGTTTATTGCTTTGTTTTATGAGTTTATTTATTGTCGTATTTCTTATGCTGTTGTTTTATTGATGTGTTGGGCCTCGGCCTTTTGTAAGCCACACCGAGTCCTTCGGGAGATGTTAGCGGGGTATAAATAAAGGTTTAATTATATTTATATTATTATAAACAACCCCTGCCATTGCAAGAAGATACAATCAAACCACTCCCAAAAATTGGCATTCTGCTTCTATTTCAAAATTTCCACATTCTGGGTCAGTGTATTCCACTGTTGAATAATTCTTCCAATTAAGACATTTTTCCTAATATCTAATTTCTTTTCCTGTAATTTGAATCCACTGCTATGTGTCCTAGTCTCTGGAGGAGAAGAAAACAAGCTTGCACCCTCCTCAATGTGACAGCCTTTCAAATATGTAAACATGGGTATCATGTCACCTCTCTCATCTTTTCTCCAAACTAAACAGACCCAGGTCCATAAAGCTGCTCCTCATAGAACTAAGCTTTCAGTCCTTCTCCCCCTTTCTCCCCCTTCTTGGCACATGTTCTGGTTCCATTCTTTTAATGTTACACTATGAAGTGAAGCCTCAGTCCTGCCTACCGTCTCTATTTTCTCAGCATGATTATGGGCTCAGAAACCCCCTGGGGAAATGCAGGTGACAGGTATCACTAAAGCTTCAATGTTTCATACATTTAACTAGTTCTGTAGGAAGTTTATTAAAAAGCAAACTGTGTGTAAACATTGACATGTTGTTGTCTGGAGGCCCTCTGTGCTCTGGCTCCCCAACCTCTGTCCAAATACTCCCAAGGTTTCATTCCAATACATGGAAGGGGCGGGCGACCCAAGGTTCTGGTGTCATGCAGAAGAGCAAATTTCCAAAAGGGAAAATTAAAAAGCCCTGCTCCGTACATGCAAATTTGCACATAATAAACCTCCTTTACTATTCCCATCTATATAAAGCTGGTCCATTATTAGAGGGCGCCTGGGAATATAAATCACTGCGAAAACTATTTGGAAACATGACTATACAGAGTTAAAGAAAAGAAAGATTACTGTGGGAATAAAAGCTGCCCCAGCTTTAGTACTGTATAGGCATGCCTTTGAAAGAAAAAGGTGGAGAAAAGATAAGGTTGCAGGTGTGTGAGATGGGAAAGTTTCATTGTTCCTTTCTAGATCTGGGAAATGTTGACATTGATGACTTCAACACCAAAAATCCCCTGCCAACTAACTGCCAGGGACTCAAGGAGCTGTAGTCCACCAATTTTTTCCACATTCTGCTCTTTTGTAGGAAAATTGGTCACTGATTTGCCATTGCATGTTTCCATGTTGCATTACAAAAGAGCAAAACACAGTACTATTCTATGCCTTAGGCCAGTGGTTCTCAACCTGTGAGTCCCCAGGTGTTTTGGCCTGCAACTCTCAGAAATCCTAACTAATTTAACCAGCTGTTAGGATTTATGGGAGTTGAAGGCTAAAACATCTGGGGACCCACTGGTTGAGAACCACTGCCTTAGGCCAAATACAATTTTTCTTTAGTAGCAATTTTATCCTTGGTTCTTTGAGAAATCAACATGCAAACAGAACTAAACTTTTATTTCACCCAGTTCAAGATAATACCAAATGTTTCCCTCGAATATTGCTCAGTAGAGGGACAGGAAGTTCATCAAGTTATCCTCAGGTAAATAGCACAACACATATAAATACATAATCCCAATACATTACCAGGTGGATGAGGGAATTCATCAAGACAACTGTGGGGAGTTAGTATACCATAAGAAGAATATATAAAATATTTCTGCATTATTGGGTTGTTGTAAGTTTTTCAGGCTGTATGGTCACGTTTCGTGGGCATCTATGGCAGGCATCGTCAGAGGTTGTGGGGGCCTTGCAACCTCTGAGGATGCCTGCCATAGATGCAGGTGAAATGTCAGGAGGTAATGCTTCTGGAACATGGCCATACAGCCCGGAAAACTCACAACAACCCAATAATTCCGCACATGAAAGCCTTCGACAATACATTTTCTGCATGATATTTTTTTGCTTCCTGATTAACTTGGAAAAGTTAACTTTCTAGATGGCTCACTCCCAGAATCTCCAACCAACACAGCCACTGGTGACATTGGCAGGAAATTCTGGAACCTATAGTCCAAAAGGAACTTTTCTTAGCTGTGTTCTTGTACTTTTGGCTTATACTAAATCTCAGGACAAGATAACTTGAGGAAAGGACTGAGCTTTCAGAAGTTCAGAAAATGGAGACAGTTTTACCTTTCTCTTTTCAGCCAAGTTAAGTCCAGGTTTGCTCAGAACATAGGACAACTTGGCAAGGGCAGCTTCAGGTGTCATGTCTCCTCCTGGAATTACACCTGCGTCCATAAGAGTCTGTATACCGTGAAGAAAGTTGGAGCTTTAGTGAGTTAAACAAACCGGAAAGGACATAATTGGAGTTTGCTGATCATGTTGCCATTACATTTCTGAGACAAAATATTTCTAGGAAAAGCCAGACTATTAATAGAAAATAACAGTATCTTACAAAGATGTAACAATTAGGATATGAGCACATTATCAGATCTTTTAATAAAGTGGTAGCAAAGAAATAAATAACAGGTCTAGCATCACACTTGACTGCAGCAGCAAAACCCAATTTAGAGGTAGAAAACTAGTGAGAGTAATTGGTCAACTCTGTAAC